TTCCATAGTCCGTTGCCAGGTTTCAGTCAGAAATAAAAAAGCCAAATTATGATTTGTGAACACAGACTTTGCTAAGGGGTGTGCATTAATCAGACACATTTTAATGGGGGAAGACACATGTCATCATCAGCACAGGAAGCTTTGGAGGTATGTGCGATAGGACGGATCACTCGTGCAACACGGTACAATGCTGCCGTAATCCATAATAATGATGAACAACTGGCTCCCCAATCCCTACCCTACCAGTCACACATCTCATCACATGTATTACTTTTTTGCATTTTTCCTATATTCTCCTGATATGGTCTGCCCATGTTAACCTTGAATCAAAAAGAACTCCCAGAAATGTAAATGTTCCAACCCTTTCTAAGTATCTCCCATACATCCTTAGCTTCATCTCATTCTTGATTATTTTCCTGGTGAAAAAGACCATTTGCGTTTTTCAACTGAGAACCTAAAACCCCAATCATACCCCCACTCCACCACCTCATCAATTGCTTCTTGTAATGTTCTGACTGCATGTTCCATGTTCCTTCCTTTTTTCCACAAGGCCCCATCATCAGCAAAGAGAGACATACCTATATCTGAATCACTACTGCCTCTTTCCAGAGAAAGGGCAAGCTCAAATCGTGGCAGCGGCAGCTAGTAGAGGCACTTCCTGTTGCAAGCTCAGCTGCCGCGGCAAATTGTGGCAGCTGCTGCCACAAACAGTGGCAGCTGCCACAACTTCTCTCGGCAGTTTCCACTGTTTGTGGCAGCTGCCACTGTTTGGGAGAGGTGCCGCGGCAGTTTAGCCTTTATTTGTCGTTATTTGACAATATGTGACAATACATTAAGGTCCTTGAAGGTATGACTGTTGGTAGTTGTAATTGGTTTAGTAAAAAATGCCGAATTGTAATAGTATGGAGCCTCGTTTTTATTAAGCTAAGCTAATATAGGCTAACATCAGTTGGCACTTGTTGCCATGGCAACTACACCAGCAGACTAAACTGGGGTGAATGAACGGCTATGCTAACGAATTTCATTGCACAATGGATTTATAAATTATAATTTATAAATATATATCTATATATACTGTATATATATATATATCCAAGTCAATAGGTTATATGGGCTGTCATCATTCTAAACAGTACAATGCATATTATCCATATTTAAAATTTGCATTCCTTCAGTCTGCTACATGAAAGTGTTTATTGTTGCCATGGCAACAGGTACCAACTGATGTTAGACTACATTAGCTTAGTTTGATAAAAATGAGTAGCCATACTATTACAATTCGGCATGTTTTTACTAAACCAATTACAACTACTAACAGTCATACCTTCAAGGACCTTAATGTATTGTTAATATTGTCAAATAACGACAAATAAAGGCTAAACTGCTGCGGCACATCTCCCAAACAGTGGCAGTCTGCCACGGCAAGTTGTGGCAGCTGCCACAAACAGTGGAAACTGCCGGGAGAAGTTGTGGCATGGCAGCTGCCACAACTTGCCGCGGCAGCTGAGCTTGCAACAGGAAGTGCCTCTACTAGCTGCCGCTGCCACGATTTGAGTCAGCTCCTACTACCAAGTTGAGGACATCTACGTGCCAGTATTGACTCATAGTCATAGCACCACCCACTGGCAACAGGAAGTTAACGTTATGTGACAAATATCCAATTTACATGAAATTTACAATGTGTTACACTTAATACCCAGCACAAATGTATGTTTAGCCTGTCTTCTGTCGCACCCCTTAGTAGGCACAGAAAGGGAAACATTTCCAGAGCTACACACTTGAAGCAAGAAATACAATCTCCTGTTTGCGGCATCCAATGTTCACGGAAGTGCCCAACTGCATCAACCGGCATCCCGCTAATAAACCTAGTGTGCGCTTAGGTCATCACTACTTGCAGCTTCAATGATACTTATTATACTTGCTATATCTGATTACTTTTCCAACAAATGTAATGCTGTGCACTAATGTTGGAAAGTCCTACCTACATAAACAACAGTACTCAAAACTGATTACTTGTCAAACATTTATAAAAAGTTATTCAATATAATCTGAATTTAGTTTGTAACAGGGAGAAATAACATAGAAAGAAAGCACTAATTAAAACCTTGAAACTAAAAACTTAACAAATGGCTTAAAGCAAACCAAACCTGCAATCAAGAATAATTATACTACCTCATCTCTGGCACTGCCGTTATATACTCTCATTGTTTTTATTAATCTGCTACTTTTGTAATGTATTTTGTTGTATCATATTGTGTTGTATTGTGCTGTACAGTAGTGTACTATAGCTTTTGCTGTCATTAGTAACTGTAATTTTACTACGTATTCTGTCTCAGTGATTACAATTACATTTATTTTACTTACTTAACTCTGGAAGTTGTTACTCCCATACACTGTGATGCGCCATTATTTTTACATCATGTCGAGTGGGTTTGTTTTAGATTGCACAGAAGCACAACTTTGAAGTTTCTCCTCATGTGCGTGATTCAAAATCTGTAAGGATTTTAAACCCCTGTAGTCTGAGCCCAGCTTCAAAATATGCAAGATTTACTGTAACCCTACATACATAAATTAGTCATTTTTATTTAAAGGTGTACGATACAACACAAAAAAATAGTACAGTTTGCATTTTGTGGCCTGAGGATATCAGCAGGCAAATTAGTACTCATAGACATAGCGCCATCTACTGGCAACAGGAAGTCAGCGTCATGTGACAAACAGCAGCCAATTTACAATACATTTATATTATGTGGACTACACTTGATATAAAGCAACATAATGCATGTTTAGCGCTTGTTATGGAGCAACATAGTGAGTACAGGAAGTGGTGGGATATTGCAATACATAATTTCCAGCCTCACACACAAATTTCTGCAAGCAGCGATGATAGTGCAAGGGCTTTAATTATTAGGGCCCGATGACCGACCAGTTGACAAAGGCCCTGTTGGAAATGCTAGGATTATTATTATTAGGGCCCGAGCAGTGAACAATGGTCGGGCTGCGAAGACCCTATTGAAACTGTAAAGATTATTATTAGGGCCTTAGCTCTGACGAAGAAGACCTATTGTTCTTCTAAGGATTATTACTGGTGTTCTTTTATGTCTTTGAACACAAAAACAAGGTGCTTGGGCTACTGGAAAACTTTGGTTCCAAATTTGGTGCACAAGTCAGTTTTGGCAAAATAGCCGTTTGATATGGGTATTGAGCTCAGGTTTGACAAAATGTCTTGATAGCGCCCCTTTTTGAGTAACTCCTACGCTGAAATTCACCTAGCTCTATGAAATTTTATATGTAGAAGAGGCTAAAATGATAAAAAAAATCATATGCTAATTCAACAGTCTGTGTCTGTGTTTTACAAAAAGCTTCAGCATAATATTTTATCATTAAAAGTAGGCTAGTTTAATAATCACCATAATTACTGCTCCACCCGATGAATAGATAAACCATTGCAACTGATTTCCACATATGGCACCATGGGGGCGTCACTAGTCTTGGTAGTGTCCATGTTGTTTCAACATTACAACTTAAAAGCTAATGAACACACCGAAGTTGGAAGAATGACTTTCCAACTCAAGAGATGGGACCATCCAAGAAGCATGTGAATGCACCAGGGTACGTATGAAATGAGAGCTAGCCCACTCAGAACCCATAGTGACTGCATTGCAGTTCAAAAAAATTTATTGACTTAACATGAGAGTCTATCAGTGCAATCTGGGCAATTTTCATTCAGACTGAAATCCTCTGGGCTCAAACTCACAAAAGCCCCTTTGTCATTTTTCCTCCTCTATATATTTTCATTTTTTTCTAGTTCAAGATGAGCCTCAAAACCGACATAATAGCTAGATTAACTATATTAACAGACTCACTTTATATTTCTCAGATGTCTTTATTCTTTAAAACAGGGGTCTCAAACTCATCTTCACTCTGGGCCACATCAGCATCATGGTTTCCCTCAAAGGGCTGGTTGTAAATGTAAGACGGTGTAAATCCCAACATATTGGTAAATAACTGTCTCTGCATTTGATTATTGTTTATTCAAGTGTAAAAATATTGTACATGCAGTTATATAAATGTAAAAATATATTTAAGCACATTTCTGTTATTATAACTTAAATCCTGTTAATTTAGGGTTAAGAAACCCACATTACTCTATCAAAGATCAAAATATTAAAGAAAATATCAAAGACAAATATCAAACAAGTTATTATAATAACTTTATTCAAAGCTTAAAATCCTTTCAAGGGTGTGTTTGCACAATCCCACGTGAAGTATTTCATGTGTTGTAAAGCCATGTTTAAAGTAGTCTTCAATGTACTCACAATACATTTCATGTAGAGTGTACAGTAACCAGCCAAAGAGCTGCTTCTGTGACTGTGTTTAGGTATCTCATCATTTTGACTTTCTATCTCAGAATTATGACTTTCTATCATATTTATGACTTTCTATCTCATAACTTCGACTTTCTATCTCATAATTTCGACTATGTGGATATTTTTATTATCAAGTCTAACTTTAATTATTATTATTTTTTTTTTTTTTGCTGGCGGATTCGCGGCCACATAAAATGACGTGGCGGGCCGGATTTGGCCCGCTGGCCGGGAGTTTGAGACCCCTGCTTTAAAAGATCACGTAAAACCGGTTAGCATCCAAAGTGAGCCTTTTAGTGTTGAGAGTTTACTGAAATTTGACCATAGAACACATTTGATTTGATTTTATATTTAGGCACATGTTTTGGCTTTAAACCCACTTAGTGCTTGAACTCAACCTATAGTTTAGTGTTGTAGGCTATCTGTTACTTCAATAAGCCGGTCTGACAAACATCTGTTTTATAATAATTACATGTATTTGATGAAAAAAAAAAAACTGGAGAAGATGGGAGGAGGAGGGATTTCCGTACTCCAAAAAAACAACTTTTCCTCCAGATTTCATTAGCTGGAGAAGTGCGACGAAGAGGCGGGACTGGACATTCTTCTCATACTGCAGACCAGGCAGGCGGGGGGCGCGCGCTTCCTGTTCTCTCTTTTACGCTAAAACATGAGATTTACATGGAAAGACGAACACTTTGTGGCAGCGAACACGCTCATTTTCCCGTAGCAAAGATTATAACTCGCGGCGACACCCTCCATTGACCGGCGGTAGCGAGTTTTCTTGTTGTAGAGGGAGAGTATCTGCAGTCGGAGGAGTTGCTTCAGTCCTCAGGAAAGGAGAAAATGAACGGAGTGATGTTTCGCTGAGATGAAGGACCGCGAAAGTAAACTGAAGAACTCCACTGAAAGGTAATGCGGTTACTGGCATATTGTTTGGAAGTTAAAAAAAGTTTTCCCCCACGCGTATATCAGTTTTCACGTAGACAAATCTTATGTTCCAGTAGCAATGTTGTGATAGTAATTTTTCTTTGGTATCAGCAAGGATACCAGGACAAACACGTTGTTTCAGAAAATGCTTGAGTTTTATCGATAGGCCTATCTAATCTTCATGTCAGTCACACATGGTTCATACTTCATCCTGTGATGGGTGCTACGAAATAACTTGAGTATTTTTTGAAAATACTGAAGCTAGGAGTATACGTGTAGGTGGGTGTATCCATCACTGCATCCTTGCCTTTGTTACCAGAAGGGCTTCTGTTAGCTGTTTGTTTTGCGTCAGTGTGAGTGCCACATTAGTGATGTGGTTCCAGGGGTTTGTCAGGGAGAAAGAAAAACATTCAAGTTGTTTTAGTTGCCACTGGTATTACAAGGTTTCCCTGTGAACCTTCGCATGCTCAACTGGAGAGTTCTGAGTAACCATAGTAGACAGATGTAGTACAGGGGTGTAAGTAGATTGAAGTTCTTACTGGTTACTAATACCCCAACCTTCATGGCTTCATGTTGTTCTCCTCCCATCCCTAGCTGCTGTAAAGTCAGCAGATACTCGAATCTCTGTGGTCAAATCAGCCGACACTGGCATTTTAGTGCACCTATATACTAACATTCATGGTAAACTCTTTCAAACGGCCCAGGTCGGGAGCGAGCAAGGGACTAGTTAGCTGAGGGATCGACGTGAGACAACTTCCGGCTTTCAAAATGAGATATCAAGAAAGCATATATAAAAATGGCATATATGTAAGTCAGATTAATTGAACTATAATCACATTAAGTATAAAACAGGTTACCTGCATCACGCGAGTTAAAGGGAAAATACAACTAAATTGTGCATGAAATGTTTTTATTCTTTAATTTGAGGGTTGCTGGAAAGATGCTATTTTTCAAAGTAAATTTCCTATATTTCTGCAGAAAAATATCTGACTGAATATTTGAGGTGCTATAAAAATACTTTTCTCAATAATTCTAGACAATGACTGATGCATATGTGTTCAGGACATCTCTGACTACAAAAAAGCAATAATTTTTACGCTACCAATTAAGAGATTTTCCTTAATTAAATCAAAACAACAGTATTTTCTAAATAATTCCAGACAATGAATCAGATGTACAGTCAGGGCCATAAGTATTTGGACTATGACACAATTTGTCTAATTTTACGTATTTACACAACTCCAATGGATTTGAAACTAATCAGTCAATATGTGGTTGAAGTGTGTACTTTCAGCTTTAATTCAATGTCTAAAACAAAAAAAATCACAATAACCGTTTAGGAATTACAGCCACTTTTACACAGCCACCCACATTTCCAGAGGCTCAAAAGTAATTGGACAATTGTCTGACAAACAGTTTCATGGCCAGATGTGGCCTATTCTGTCACTATTTCATGACAAATGATGCCGACAATAGGATTCAAAATGTTATATTTGCAGTTGGTAGTTGGTCCTTGCAACTCTCAGCATGCGGACCAAAAAGATGTCAATGCAAGTGAAGGAGGCCATTATTAGGTTAAAAAAATTGGTGTTACTTGGTGAAGAAAAACCCCTTCATAACATCTACCGAAGTCAAAAAAAACTCTGGAGGAGGTAGGCGTGCCATTGTTAAAGTCTACAATCAAGAGACGCATGAATCTAAATACAGAGGGTTTACAAGAAGTTACAAGGTGCAAACTAGTGCTGGGCGGTATGACCAAAAATGCATATCACGGTATTTTGTAAGATTCTGGCGGTTTCACGGTATATCACGCTATTTTTTCTCGCGTTAAAGCATTTATTAATTAACGCCAAAAAGAACCGGCCAGCGAGCGGTGAACAGCTGTTTGTGTGGCGTGTCTGCCGTTCCGTCACTTCAGTGACCCCAGTACAGCTTCTTATCACCCTCTATGTAACAACGTACATTTATAACAAATACCACAGATATTACACGGTCTGACCAAAATACCTTTTGTTATTCAGTCTTTGTTCATCCTGCATCGCTCTTTTCTGTTCTTTAATGTAATATTACTGGAGCGACAGACCCTCTCCCAGCTGTTAGCAGACTGTTGTTAGCTAGCTGTACCCAGCATGCAGTT